CTAAAGGAACGTGGCACATGAAAAGCATTAAAAAAGTATAGATGGATCACACCTTGGATACAGTCTAGCCTCTGAAAATTTTGAATTTTGAATTTTTTATTACTAAGTTTCATATACTCAATAGATCAGGAGATAATTTCGCGATGAAGAACACAATCAAACAAGGACAAGACTTGTAGAGGAAGGGGAAAGAGGGGAGAATAGGATAGAGATAGAAAGAAAGAAAGAAAAGGGAGACCAAAGTCAGACCCAGTCACTTCTTCACCGATATTTTTCACAGTATACCAAATTTATGAGTAACGAAGAGATAAAGCGATTCTAACAGTACACCAAAGTTATGAGTAACGAGGAGATTTCTGCTTCTTCAGATTTGTATAAATCTTCTTCAGATTTGCATCGGAGATTCTCTTCTGGTGGTGACGAAGTGGCACTATTAGAGATTCGGATCAGAGATGTGCAACATCACCGCAGCCCGCGATGTCGTCGGCGTGAAGACGGAGAGAAGAGAGAAGCTGTTCGTTGAGTGAGAGAGAGAGAGAGAACTAGAAACAGAGAAATTATGCTGAGAATTTAGTGATTTAAGGTGGGGTAGGTGGGAGTGGGGTGTATATAAATTAATTTTTATAATATTATTATTAATATTTAATTAAATATAAAAAACCTGTATCTATATATAAAATATCTAATTTTTGAAAAAATAAATCTTATATCTGATTTTAGAATTTAAGTTTTGAAAAGTAGGGTTTTGTGTAATTTCCTCTACATATTAACAATTTATACAACTTTCAAAATTTGACACTATATAAAGCTATTTTTCTTGAAGTTCAAAATAATTTGATTTGTTCAACGAAATCCAGAACAACTATCGTATCCTAATAATCTTATCATGGGAAATTTTTGTTTGTTGAGTTATTTGGCTTACAGCAAAATAAATAATTGACTCTATAAGAGTGTTGGTTTCGCTTTGCTTTCCTAATTCTGAAACCCAAACCCCTTTTTCCTTGTGTGGTAAATGGATAAAAGATACAGAAATTATGTTAGGTTTGTAAATGAAATAAATGTAATCAGATGAAGGAAATTTTATGTCACTTCTGTAATTTATTAGGAAAGTTTCAGGCTTGCCATATTTGCACTGACATTCTCTACAGGGAAGATATTAAGATTCTAAAGATGACGCTGAATAAACCAGAAACTGAAGGCTTATAGATAATTCCTAAGGCGGCTTAGCATTTTTGTCAGTTGTCTGGGATTTAGGGGCCGAATAAGACAACGTCAATGAAATTCACGAATCAAGGGGAATTTACGAAGTTAAATCACACTTAAGATTGGCTTCCAGCCTCAGAAAAAAGCAGTCCAGGATGCATGCCATATTTCTATGGCTCTAGAACCATAAAAAGATGTTCCAAATATAGAAGGATGGCCAATTACGAACGTTACTGTATTACTACTAATTCAAAATGTAAAACTATTTGCTCCAATTCGGTAGCATCACTGAGGGGGTCTGGTCATGCTTCCGAAATTCCAATAGAGGAGAAGGTGAGGTTGAGATAAGACATTGGGGAACTAATCAGCTTTTCCCTGACTAATCCTTTTTTAAGTAAAACTTCCTTGTGCGAGCGTTGTGTGTGCCATTCTTTAAATGCACGTGTTTGCATTTATTTCATGTGTATATAAATTAAAAAAACATTCATTTAAATGCAAATAATGATGGTAAAATCACTTGTCTTGTCTAGTATAGATTCGATGGAAAAATGACTTCTCATATTTTTGGAAAACCAAATCATTTTGCTATTTATTACCTGTATTTATGCAATTATTCTTTTTAAGTCTTACGAATTTTCTAATTCTCTTTGTGCTCTAGTTTTCCATTACATCAATGATCAATCCTTTATTGTTGACTCAGGTGCCACCTCATACATAATAAATAATATTGTTACATCTTGAAATGAAAACAGTCTACTCATTTTATTATACTAGCATGTGTAGTGCAATAATAACAACTCGAAAACGGATTGCTCTTAAGAAAAAAAAACACCTTCTCTTATTTCATGAACAACCAAAAATCCTACAAGATGTTTTAGAGTCTTAAATGTGAAAAGAACAGATAACCTACTGGGCTAGCAGTCTTTTAATGGGTTGGGCTACAAAGAAAATTAAATAAATATTAAAAATAATGAACTAAGACATATTAAGTGCCGTTTTGACTTACCAAATGAATTCAAACGTCCAAAACCCGTCATACGTCACGTCAAAGTGGTGAGTTCAATGGGAATCGTTGCGAGCTTTCCGGAATGGTGTTATGGGCTCAAAACGGACAAACATACGTTTTCAATGCGGTAATAATTTGAACACCGACCATCCAAGCATTCCAAATATGCAAGTCCCTGTTCCTCCACACGAACATCATCATGTAGTTTCTTGTAAGTGGAAATTGGATTTAAAAGACGAAATGGCTCTAATGGCAAATGTTATATTCTTAACTAATTTCGATGGCTGTAATTCAAATTTCTTCAGTTTTTGTTTTTTGGTTTTGTTTTGTTTTTTTTAAAATCTAATTCTAATCTAAGAGACCCCTATAAATGGTTATAACATTTGGCAAAGAATTTGTAAATGGACCCAAGTTTTTCTTTGAATATACAAGTGAAAAATAATAGAAATTTACTTTATGGTCTCCTCTTTCACCTATAATTTTCTTTCATATTTTTCACTATTCTTTACCATATAAAATTCAAGCTTTTTATTATTTCATAATTCAGAAATAGGATATAAAGCCTCTTGCATTGGTTTATCAAGTTTCTGGCATTCGGGCTTGTTGTCGTGAGTGCATAAATAAACACTTATAAACAATTCATTCAATTCTATTGTATCTTGGAGGCTTACTTGGATCCCGTGTACTTTTGTAAGAGCAAATATAGTCTTAACGAGAGCGTCATCATTTTCTCTGGAATTATATGGGAGGATATTATTTCAAGCCATTGCAAAGGAGTATCTAATAGAAGAAATAATGTGTGCGAATAAGATTTAGTGAAAATTGTGTCTTTTCCATTGATTGGTGGAGCACAAGGCACAAAATCATCTTTTCCCAGCAGCTGGGAAGCATTGACACTCTGTCGGCATCAGCGTATTGGTGTCCAACACATATTGGACACCGGTACGTCTCCGACATGTCGCCGAACACTGAAGTTTAGTGGAAGAACTGTTCAAGTAACAACCTCACGAGTCCGTTTCAGGAAGAATTATTGATGCTGCAATT